ACTGACGACGACATCGCAACTCGAAACCATGACACATGCATAAGGTAGTCGTATTATTTTCTTAGACTTAGGCTAGAATAGAATGTTTTTTATTTAAACGTTTATTTATTTTATCTAGTCTTTTGTTGTGTCATTTTTAAAAGTGCTTTCAAAACATAGAAGTCCATGACAGTGTTTTAAGCTGGAGATTATGTTATATGAAAGTTTAAATGAAGTATTTCTACATTCATATTTATGATATGTATACCGTAACGACCTTAAATTAAGTAAAAAATTTCAAATCGTTACAAGATCACGTATTTGAGAGAGGGTGCCAAACTTAAAACCGACCCTACAAAATTAATATTAATAGCAACAATCCAAATAAGTTTTAATAATAATAATAATAAGAAAATGAGGCGTTCGTTAATGAAGCCGTTAATGGAGGTTATTTAGGCGTTGAATATCTGATTCCCGATGTCCCATCGTACGCCCCAAAACAGTCCACCATTTTCGCACGTGCCATTCCTTATCATTCATTATTATATATATATAATTTTTTTTTTAATTTTCTTCACGTAATATTTGCCGTAATTTTGGTTTTCTCTTCCCGACATTTATATTAAATTCCATTATGCTCTCTCTCTCTCTCCCCCATCCTTTTCTTACTCTTCAAACAACATATATTTTCCATTTTAATTTTAATTAAAATATTTACCCTTTCAATCAATCAACCATATCTTTAAATTGACTTAATTACATAATATTATCAAATATAATGTACCTATCGTAAAAGATTGCTTAATTATATTAAAATTATACAAAAAAAAAATATATATATATATATATATTATCAAATTCTTCCACGTCACTGTCTTGTTTTTTTGTTCAACATTTTACCATAGGTACTTATTAAAATTTTACGTGGCAATGACTTGATGGGTACGAAATAATGATATTAAGACACTAATTTTTCGTTCAATATTCTAATAATTTTTTTACTTTAAAAGGTAACTAAGTTAATATTGCAAGTTTCAAACCATACAATTACCTTTTAAATAAGAGGTAATAAATATTTTTTTATAATTTACCCAAAAAAAAATAACAACCCAATAGGAGATTCAACTCTCTGACCTCTTAATTTTAATTGAATTATAAATTATTGTTGTTATATATATATATATATATATTAAAGGGATATATAATGGAGTTTTGTATCTTTCTTGCCGGCATAACCATCCCCATGGCCTTCTTAATATAAATAATATAGAAATTGCAATTTCTACGAGCCACATGGTTATTAGCGTCATGTTAAGGGACACATAGTAATCAAATTTCTTGATAAGGTTAAATAAAAATTATACAAACAATCAAATTCACGTGCCAATCACTTTCACTTTCATTCATCAAATCGGAAAACTACCAGATTTCATTTTCATACAATATTTTTAGCATAATTAAATAAAATATATTTTAATATGAATAATTCAATCTCTGCTCGTCATTGAACTAAGAAAGGATAGAAATTATGATTCGTTTCACAAACGCTCTCTAATCCAATGCTTTAATTAACTAGATGGATTCGTCGTGATCTCATCATATTTTTTTTTTCATTTAAATTTTAAAGCGTAGTTTATAATATTTTTATTTAGTTGAAAAATTAATTATGTGAAATAAGGAAGTTAAGGTCGTTGTTTGTTTTGTTTTTGTGTTTTTTGAAAGTGAGATCTCAACCATAAACTATATTTCTTTTTTCAAAAAGGTACCAACTAAATAATTTTTGTTTTTTTTTTTTTTTCATAAGGGAGACAAAAAAATGTATTTGGGTGATAGCTCCATTAGTGATTATATTTATGAAGATAATGCCTATATTTTTGGACTTTTGAGATTAGGTAAAATGTAATTCATGCTCGTTCGATAATTATATTTTAGGTTTTCGGTCGTCTTAATCTTTGGCTTATATGTATAAAAGCAATTTTATTACAGATGCATACGAGTCGGTGGAAAGTAAACGATTTTAAATATTGAGTTGTATCAAGAGTTGTTCGAAATGTTTTGACCGTTCTAGTTTTTACGTGGCTTTTGAATTAACATTTAGTATGAAAATAATGATGGTCTCCTATAACTTTTTAATCAACATTTAATACAGGTAGGATGATTCTTTAGAATTGGTAAAGAATTGATTTTATAGACTCTATTTTGTTCTAATTTATTTATTATCTTTGGTGCAACTTCTATAACAATTTATTTATTTATTTAGATAATTTAGAACCCCTCTCGGTTCATCGAGGTAATGTATAATAGTTTTTATTTTTCTGACCCATAATTTCTTTAACGAACTATTTTTAATATTTTTTAATTTTACTATCTATTTTTTGTATTTCCTTACTTTTTAAATTGATGTCTTTTACTTCTGTGACAATATTGAACTATGTTAAAATATTACAATTTTGTTTGTGAACTCTTAATACATTTTTATCTTAATAAATAAGAATGGTACATAAAAAAAATTCAGAAAATTAAAATAAAAAATAAATTAGCTACTACAATTCCAAAATAGAGTAATGGGTTGGGTCAATAATAGCCCACAAAAGTAAACAAATAAAAATAATTATAAAAAAAATAAGAAGATTAGTTTTAAAAAAACCTTCCTCACTTCTCTCCCCTCACCTCTCATCCATCCGTTCCTCACTTCTCTCCCCTCACCTCTCATCCATCCGTTCTCTATGAAAGGGAAGAAAAAAATATTTTCCCATGAAACAGAAAAAATTGAGAAAAAATGGACTCAATTAAATTAAAAATCAATAATATATCTGTTTACATAATCAAATGAAAGATAAAAGAAAATACAGAGACAAGGCTAACAGAATCGAAATAAAGAAAAATGAAATACACATAGAAACTAAGAATATGGCTAACATAATAGAAGAAAAAAAAAAAAGGAAAAACAACGAGAATAAAATATCTAAAAAATGTTAAAAGGTATTAATCACCGTAATAGAAAATAGAATATCCAAAGGGTATTAAATGATTTGTATGAAAATAATATTATAACAGCAAATACTCTAATATAGCACTTGGTCTAGATGGGCTCAAACTTAAAACTAATATCATGAGCTCATATAGATTGACTTAGATTTCAATGGACAGAATCGAACTTTCGCTAAGGATAACTTCGCAACATCAACCTAAGCTAATCAGGTAAGTGACCTTACTATCGACATGGTTATATTTGATGTTGGCACATGGCCCGTGGTTTTGCACGTGTTATATATTGATATGTGTGAATTGTTTATGGATTTATATGTTTATGATATGATATATATATGTTATAATATGTGAATTGTATGATAATATTTAATATGTAAATTGTATGATAATACTTACGATACAATATGTTCAATGATATGTTTGAGATAGGATACGATAATAATGTATTAAACGTAATGTAATGATAGAAGTAAGACATGTTCATGAAATGTTAAGGTTATGTAACATATCAAAGTACTATGGATATGGGAGATTGATAAAAACGATATGATCACGATCAATTGACAAAAGAATATGGTTAGATTATGGATAGAAAGGGATAGGATTATGATAGATTGATAGAACGATAGCGTTAGGATACGTTTCTGTAAAGATGTAACTACGGTACGTTCATGTAACGATATGACCACAAAATGTTTACGATATGACCTCAAAATGTTTACGATATGATATGATTATGATACGACATGTGAATGTAATATGATATGAAAATGATATAAGGTATGTTATGGTAGAAGATATGTGATAAATTGACATATTTATGGTATAATATATTGTGATGCGATATCTTATGGTATGATATGTATACGATGAAAATTATTATGCCTGGAAGCATGGAATTTATGATATGATATATTTATGTAATTTGAATGATATAATATGTTTGACATGCAAAACGACGAACTAGCATAAAATACATACAAATCCGACGTATGCATGAAAGATATGATAACAAATTGTGAAATGATAAGAAAAATGATGTGATATGTAAAAATGTTGAGACCTCATGCATTATTATGTGCTCATGTATTGAGCGATATGCCTAGCCCTTCACGATAGTACAAACGCATACATTACGAGACAGGAGAACAATCATTATATTTATCATAATGCTGCGATAGTCCGGCACAAAAAAGATCATTATGTTAACCTAATGTTGTTGTGACGATGACTAGTTCTGGTCAGGCAGAAAAACGATCATTATGTTAACCTAATATTGTCAGGACGGTTACTAGTTCTAACGGGTGGTCGGCCTAAGGAGCTCCCATAGTATGCTCGCCCAACAAGAAAAGTGGCCTAACGGTATGCAAACTAACTAGTAAGTCCATACTCGCTCGTATGGGTATGGGTTGTGTGTAGAGTATATGGTACACATCCAACTTACCATTAAGATAGCATTATAAGAAAATAGATTGAAATGATGGGCACGTCATTGCATTCACATGTATGGAATGACCTCCAATAGAGGAATGACATGACAGGGTATTTCCTACCACCTCTAAATATGGCAAATATTGGAGACCTAATATTGATCATTTATCAACAAACAACATTGACCATTATAAAAGTGGGTTTATCCACACCACCATAGCTGAGAAAAGATTGCAAAAGAGAGAAGGTTTCAAAAAAGCATCAAATCTTGAAACTCATAAAGCCAATCCTCACATGAACAGCCCTTGGAAACGGACAGGTTTGTTCAACCTTCTCTCTACTCTGCCCTAAAACGTATGAAACAATTTAAAATTTCAGGTCCAAATCAAAAACTTAAAATCGAGTAAGTCCCATGATCGAATACCAATTTGATGAAATAATTGAGCTGCAAATCAAATCCAGAAATGTTTTTATCAAAGAAATTCTCGCCACCAAATCAGAAATACGTTTATCCCTAGGCATTTGACCAAATGGGATCATCGAGCTCTTATAGAACTTATCACTAAAATACCTCTCCAAAGGATCAGAAGAAGAAGAAGTGGAGCAAAAATGATTTTTCATTAGATGGAAAATTCAAATCATTAACTCCATGCTTGTGAACAAGTAATTGTCCAATAATGAGCCGGTAATGAGCTAGGAATGTTCATCTTCCTGCTCTAAATTGGGCAACAAATCAGTAATTCAATTCTATAAATTATAATCAATGAAAGTGGCATACCAGAACAAAGGGATGGACTTATCAATCCTCTTTTAATCTCCTCAATAGCTTGGAAACCCATCGATTCACGCGTCGCTTTAACGAGTAACCAACCACCACCCCGGCAACAAAGCAAATACCACATAGCTTTGAACAAGTTAATATCGATACTACTTGCCTGCCCACACATACACACACCAGTCAAATTTATCATATTACAACAAATGAGGAAGACTGAACTTTTGTAGTTTCTGTTCAGTATAGATCAAAAGAAACAATCATAGAAGTTCCCAAAATTTCAAAAATAAATGAAATTCAATCTACCATATAAATTACTCCAATCCAAAAGAGTTAAGAAAAAGTGAACCATCAAAATGAAAATGGAAGTGAACCATTAAAAAGAAAGAGGGAAAAAGATTCCCAATGATTAAGGAAAAGGGAAAGTAATCCAACGGAATTCGCAGAGAAGACACATAGTTGTTAGAAATTTGAAGAGTGCCTTCAATATTCCAATTGTGGAAAAGAACAAAACTCAAACAAAAACAAGCAACAAATTGAGAAACGGGTGATTCCGGCAATGGCAACAAAAAAATATTAATAATAAACCCTCTGGCGGAGGAAAAGCCCGTAATCAACCGCACGAGTAAGGACCGATTAGAGCCCCAAGAAAGTGGACGGAAATCAAGACGAATTGAAAGACAACGAAGACAGAGCGAAAGAGAGAGAGAGAGAGAGATGGAGAAGTACCTGGGAGGTCTAGTGGCAAGCAATAGACGAGACTGATCGGAAGAAGATAGGGCGGAGGCGATTCCTTCTCCATTTCTCAAAGCTTCCACTGAAGAAGGTAACGCCGCCGATTTCATTTCTGCCGTCGGACTTGAAAAAGAGAGAGAGAAATACAAAGTAGGGTTTAGGAGCCGTTTGAATTGTGGAAGAAGAGGGTGGGAATGGCATGAAATGTAATATTCTAATTTTTTAGGCTTTTTTTTTTTTCTTTTTTTTTTTATATTTTTATTATCAGTTATTATTTACTCCTATATATTTATTTATTTATTTTAATAATTATTAATATTGATGGCTAAGAGTACGAAATGACCCATAAAAAATGTATTATTGTTTCATTAATAAATTATTACAATGGTATAAAATTTATAAATATATCTCATTAGTTATAATTTATTCTAATGTATAGAACATTTTGATTTTTTAAAATATAAATTCGAATAAATATTTACAATTAAATGTTTATATAATTTTATTAAAATTATTTAATTAAGCGTTATTTAAAGGATATTTTAAATGTTTGTTTGCTAGAGCATAATATTAGAAATTATAAAATAACAGATTAATTATAAATCCAGAAACAAAATTAAAGGGTAATATAGTAATTTGAAGTAGTAGCTGGGAAGGCTGAAAAGCGAGGACAGGAGGAAGTGGCGATCTGCACCCATCCAGGACGAGGTGAAGGAGCGCAAGGAAAGGGAAATCAGAGCTGTTTTGCAATGGCGAATAAGCCTTTGGGATCGACTGGAGAGTTCTTCAGGAGGACAGACGAGTGGAGGAAGCATCCGATGCTCTCCAATCAGTTCCGACATGCCACTCCTGGCCTCGGCATCGCTCTCGTTGCTTTCGGCATCTACCTTGTCGGCGAGCAAGTATATAACAGGATCCATTCTCCTTCTTCCTCTCACCATCACCATGCTGATGCTTCCTCCGCCACCCATTAACTCTTACCGGTGATTTCCCTAACTCTTCACTCCGGTTTTCATTTTAATACTTTCTTCCCTCCGCCGTCGGGGTGAATTCTGTCGTGTTTGAATCTTGTGTATTCATTTTCCCCTAGTTTTCTGTTTTAAATGAATTTTTATCCCGCTCTCATCTGAAGAGAACGAATGTGTTTCTTTTTTTTCATCTTTCTGGGTCAAGGTTGCCCGTAATTTCGATGGGGTTTCTTTTTTATGTTCTAGAATTTCGCAGTGCTTCCTATTTTTCGATGTGCTATTTCTTTTTAAATGTATTCTGCGGCAATCTGTGGCGTGTTGTTGTCTATAATCGTTCAATGCTATAGATCTGTCTTTTATGTATACTTCTAAATAAATTAAGGGAGGAACGCACAATTTTTCCTGCTGCTGGTTATGACAATTTTGAATTTCTTGGAAGTTTAGCCTGATTAACTTTGGTAATTATGTTAGTGGTTGCTGGAATGGAAGTCGTTTTTATTTTTAGTAGTCTGTATTGGATATATTAATTAAGTCATGGGATATTTACTTCGAGTTTTCGATTTCATTATTCATGTATTGCTTGCATATTCATTCTTACCCAGGAATAGAGCTTGGTTCTTGTGTCGTTGTGACTGGTGTATCATAGTTTGATTGGATGCGCTATGAACTGTGATGCCATGAACATTGCGTTTTAACTGTTTTGGAGCTTTGTATGAAGGAATTGTGTCTTGGTGTTGTTTCTGCACCTACACGGGTATAGTCTCTGTTCTGTTCATTTGTCAAACCACTTTAAAATTATGGAACTTAGGAATAGCTATCTAGAGTACCAATTTGAATTTCCTGTCGCTTAGCTATGCGACAAATCCTCGCTATGTCAATTCCCCCTAATGATGAGGAGAATGGTCTTTTAATACTTTATTTCTTCTAAAGAATGCTTCTAATAGAATGTAGATAATATCTCAAGCTGTATGCATTTATATTTTCTCTGCAGCATTCTTCATTAGAAATAAACCGCTCTCCATTGAATAACGAAGTTTCATGGCTTGACAATGCATCTGGATGCACAAGGGCATCACTGGCATATGTATGTCTTATCCCCAAGTCTTTTTCTGAATTTAATGCAAGGGGAATTACCGATGTAGTGTCCTATCTCTTAAAAAAGATACGATATACAAGGTGAAATACTTTAGGCTCAATCTTGTTACAAGATTATGTAAGATTATAGTTATAACCTTGGTTGATAGATTGACGAAAGTCCTTCCTTGCACTATTTCCTACTCCCAAGGGGCCTGTTCTCTGTTAATTAGAGATGCAAGTATGAATGAGACCAATGTCTGTCTTATCTCTTTAAAAAAGATAAGATATACAAGGTGAAATACTTTAGACTCAATCTTGTTACTAGATTACATAAGATTATAGTTATGACTTGGTTGATAGATTGAGGAAAGTCCATCCTAGCACTATTTCAACTGCCAAAACACAAATCTAATACCAAGTGTTGATTGCTAACCAAGTCATTGAAGACTAGGAAAACTGATGACCATGTGGATTTCATACATGAAGTCATGGGGAGGAAGGGATTTGAGTTTAAGTGGAGACCTGAGTGTGGAGTTGTATAAGTTCAGTAATTTTTTCCCATATTTGTCAATGGGAAACCTAGGGGCAAGATATTTGCTTTTATAGGTCTTAGACGAGGGATCCTCTATCACCCTTTCTCTTTATCTTAGGGGTGAATGTTCTAAGTATGTTAATTTCGTTTGGAGTGCATAAAAGGGGTGGAAGAGGGGTTTAAGGTGGGAAAGGAGTTAAGGAGTTTGATTCATCTATTGCATTTTCAGCTTGTTGATGACACCCGTTTTGTCTATTCGGGATTGGGAGGATCATTTGTTAATCTTAATGGTTTTTTGTCTTTCTTTGAAGTTTGTTTTTTTCCTTAACATTAATAGGGACAAAAACTCCATTGTAGGTTTAAACTTCTACCCCTCTAAGTTGAGTTCTTTGGCTTCTTTGGTTGGGTGTGAGGTGATTCAGTTCCCTTCTTATCTAGAATTTCTTTTGGGTGGTATTCTGAAGAGTGAGGGTTTATAGAGTCTTGTTATAGAAAAAATTCATAACCGATTGTTTACATGGGTAAGCATCTTCTTCTTGGGAGACGCACTCTTGTTCCCTTGGTGTTGAGTGGATAAAAGGGGTTGGAGAGGAGTTTAAGGTGGGAAAGGAGTTAAGGAGTTGATGCATCTAGTGCATTTTCAGCTTGTTGATGACACCTTTTTCAATTTGGGATTGGGAGGATCATTTGCTAATATTCTTAGAAGTTTGTTTTTTCCTTGAGATTAATAGGGCAAAAGCTCCATTGTAGGTTTGAACTTCTACCCCTCTAGGTTGAGTTCTTTGGCTTCTTTGGTTGGGTGTGAGGTGGTTCAATTCCCTTCCTCTTATCTAGAATTTCTTTTGGGTGCACGTACATATTTGGGTTGGCCCAATGATAAGTCCATTGGGGAGGCCTTACGAGCCGATCCAAATGTGGCATAAATGGGTCAGCCCATGAGTCAGATCGATCGGGCTGGTCAAACTTTGCTTTTGAACCAATCATGGATCAATGGGCTGAACTTGGGCCAACCTTTGGGCATGGCCTTGTTGATGAGGTTGAACCCAGGGAAAAGGGAATTCAAGATTTGAACCCTTGATCTTCTATGGGTTTCTCTCACAATTATCTTTCTCACATCTTGCCTGCCACTTTTTTACCCTAAGGTGTCTTTTCTTTCTCCACTCTCTAGAATAACTTTTCAAAGGTCAAAATTTTCGTGTGACAAGTTTTACATAGGAAGTCAATACCATGGATTGTGTTCAAAAACACTCTGTGTTGTACTTGCTTTGGTGCATTCTTTATAGGTAGCAAGAGGAGGACCTTGATCATATGTTATGAGGTAGCCAGTTTGCACAATTGCTTTGGATTCAGAGGGATGGGTTGATTTGGATGTTTGTCATGGAGTAAGGATGGTTACTCTATGGTTGAGAGCAGGAAATGTTTCATGGCATGCTAGCTTCTTTGTTATTTTGTGGGACATTTAGCTTGAGAGGAATAGGATGAAGTTTATAGAGTTAGAGAGTTCGTCTGTGGAGGTTTGGGAGACCCGTGGTTACATGGCCTTTGTAAATAGGAGCTATGTTGTATTATGTTGGATTGAATTAGGTTTTGAACTCTTTGTTATTGTTTTTGTTTTCAGTAGTATGTCCTTGTATATTATTTCATTTCTCTCAACGGAAGCTTGGTTTCTTACCAAATAACTAAATAAAACTGGTATTTCTAACTTATAATATTTTTCTCTTATTTTTATTAAGTGTTGTTAATTGAATAGAGTTCTATGACAATGTAAAACTTTTTCCCGATGTGTTATGTTCAAAACATCCTCACTGAACTATCTCCTCACTCTTAATGTGTTCGTAAATGTTGTAATCTGTGCAACTTATGTGACTTCTTGCTAATTTTGCAGATGCTTCCTGCTACTGAATCTAAGCTTGGAGTACTACAACACTCTTTCCCTTTTACCCTTTTATGTGCAATAATAGTTCCCTACTGGACAAAGCACTTGAAGCTTGTAAATGTATTTGATGAGTTTGGGATTGAAATTTGCATCAAGACTGATGAAGTGTTTAAGTTTATAATCTAGTGGTTCTAGCAATTAATTTTGCTCATAGATAGTAATAAGATGTTTTGGTAATGATTTTGTTTATCATTGCTCCTTGAATGAAGACTTGCTGTAAGTAGTCTTGAATGCTTGATCTCCAGGAAACTTATTGGTAAGTGCTTATTAGTTGGAACATCATTTTTTAAATGCTGAAATATTTCGTTAGCTTTGGGAATAGAATGCTATTGATCATTCATAACCTACTTTTCTTATTAATTAGCACTAACGACTTCAAGTTTTACCCCTGTTAGGTTCAATGTAGCAAGAAAAATGTTGAGTATTTGGATAAAAGATTATTTGTACTCTATTCGTTGAGGTTTAAACTTTAGATCCTTTCGATTTCAAATACATTAAACGTGAAGATCCTTTTAACATTTTGCTTTAGTTTATACATGTCATTACGAAGAACATGAAAAATGTATAAAAATGAGTGGTCGTACTAAAAGTGGGTGACGGATATTTTAGAAAGTTGATTTTAGCATATTAATGGCTATTGCAAGCTAATTGTTTCGTCACACGTCCTTTTCTTCTTCTTCCTAAACG